GGAGAAGGCACGTGGGGAGGAGAAGGCACGTGGGGAGGAGGGGAGAAGGCACGTGGGGAGGAGAAGGCACGTGGGGAGGAGGAGAAGGCACGTGGGGAGGAGGAGAAGGCACGTGGGGAGGGGAGGGGAAGGCACGTGGGGAGGGACCTGAGAGGTGACCTGCACAGATGAGGGCAAGAAGGGGAGACTGGAGCTGTTGGAAACAAGGTGACAAGTTAAAGGAAAGATTGAAAATGAAGCGTTTTGTTTAATACATGACCCCATAGAAAAGACAACAAAGCTGACTTGCGCACTGATTTGGCACAAGTCAGTGTTTTTGTTTCTTTTTATGTGTATGGGTGTCTTTCCTGAGGATATGTGTGTGCACCACATGCCTGCAGTGCCCAGGACAGCCAGATGTGGGCTTCCTATCTCCCAGAAGTGGAGCTACAGATGGCTGTGAGCCACCATGTGGAGGCTGGGAATAGAATCTCTGCAAGAGCAGCAAATGATTCCACCTCTGAGCCATCTCTTCAGCCCAGCCTGCAGTTTTTGAAACCTTCTGATCATAAGAAATTCCTGTTCTTTTTTTCTATAGTCTGGAACTTGCACCCCTCTCAAACTTCCCATCTCATAGCCCTAAGACACAAAACCTCCTCCAGTGAACCTCTTTCCCCATCCTAGGCTCCATCACACAGAATTTTTCTAACTAGAGTTCTGAGGCAAGCGGGCACCAGATGCCAATTGGGGAAGGAGACCTAACACCCACCTCTCAGCACACCTCACATTGAAATGGGCATAACAATCCATTTCTTTACAGAACTCTTGGTTTTATTTTGCTATCATTATTATCATCTCATTTCACCATATTATTATATTTTAATCATTCCCATATTTTGGAGAATTCTTATTATACTCAAAGTAAGTGTGTCAAATAACCATATTCCCCTCAGCTAGTTGTTCCTAGTAAAATCTTTCTTTTATATGAAGGATGGAGGTCACTTATATAATATCCACTCTTCTGTATTATTTTCATTTAAATTTTGAGGCGAACACTGTCTCAAGCCATGCCTAGCATATGGTAGGACTCACACATGTGACTTCTGAACAGACTAACACGCATGTTCTTATTGGCATGACTTATGACCTTGGACACGTCCATTCATCTTGATGTTTTCTCACATACAGATTGAAGGGCATATCAAGGTTTCGTGACTATTAAACAAGTTAAACTGAGCATGGGCTAAAGCAACACTCCTTGTTACATGGCCAGCATGCAGCTCTTGTTTGTCATTGCTTGTGACAGAATAAAGACACAGTCTGGGTCCCTTTGCCACATTCATCAGGGAACTACTTGTTTGTAAACGTCCATTGTACATTTCCTGGCCCTTGATAATCTTTTTAAAAGGTGTGAGCCTGTGGCTTTGGGTTAGAAACTCCAAAAACCTGGGGCTTTCCATTCTCCAGCTATGTGATCCTGGATACACAAGCTGGCCTCTCTGAACCTCATAGAAAGGGTGTGCCTGTGAGGGTTGCTGGTTTGGCCACTGAATATGTGTTCCGCTGAAGCAGACCCTGATGTGAGAGGTCAAATTTAAATTTATTTGGGTGTTATTCAAAGACAAGTTTCAATTGCCAGGTGTCTCTTTGGAAGAGAACTCTTGGAAACCAGTAAGACAGTGGGAAAGTCAGATGGGTGGAGGAGGCAGGAGAGGAAGGCAGCTGAGGAAGGAGGCTGGCACAGAGACAGCCAAGACTCAGACATGGTGGGGAGCTCTGGAAGACAGAGAGCGTACACATGCACCTCAGAACCATCCTACCCAGAGTGAGGGAGCTGTAGCGTTTACCCACCCATACCACCCCTGAGAGCTTCAAAGGTCAGAGTTTCTTTCAAGTGCATGGTCTTTAATACAAGAGTCAGGCCTAGGGACAGGGCCAGGAGACTCTGACAGCAGCTTCAGTCATGAGCACAGGCCTGTGTGGACAGTTTAGTCACTCATTGGTTCCAACACAAACGCACACATATTCCACACATACATCCCTACCCCATACTCACACAGCCACACACACCCACAGACACAGCCCCCCCCACATCTCTCCCTGGCACCCACACACATCACATGCACACCACACACACATACACACCACACAACCACATACACACACACATACACACCACACAACCACATACACACACACATGCCACACATAATGCACATACTCAGATACCATTCAAGTGTTAGTATTCTCTTTGATTTCATTAATCATTCTTACAATTATCTTTTTGAATATTTTGCTGGGATTTTATTTAATTTACTCACACAGAATCTATTGTTTTGGATTTACATTTTTTTTAGAGTGGTCCTACTGCCTTGTTTTTTTAATCTTTGTACCAAAACTGAAAGTGTTATTTCATTGGTTGGATTTCCTTTAATTAGCTATATTCTTCCAGCTGCTGAATGAGCAATGATAAAATAAGGCTAGGCTAGAGAAGGTTGATGTTTACAGTTAATAGCTAAACCCATCAGTTCACATTCTCAAATATGATGGTCTATATCACTCCAAGAACAGCATATCAACCATAGAAGCAACCACAATTCCAAGATATTTCCACTATGTAAATATAATGATGAGTTAAAAATAGTCATTCACTCAACTTCAGTAACTATTTGGAGATGAGTACTGGTGGTGATAACAGTGGTGGTACTTAGTGTATGAAGACACGAGTTTCTAAGGCTAGGAGTGGAAAGGATGTCAGCTTTGTATGTGGATCACTATTAAATCTGAAAAAATGAAGGTGGGGGAAAATGTCTGGAAGGGAGAAGTCGGAACTGTCAGAGTTTAAAGATTACTAAAAGTTATAGTTAAGGCACAAGAAGAGGAGGAGATGGAGAATTACTCATCTCCCGTGCTGTGGAAAAATAACTGACAAAGGCAATAAGGGAGGAAGGTTTGTTTTTAGATCACAGTTTGAGGACACCGTCCATCGTGACAGGCGGTGGCAGCAGATTGGGGCAGCCGGTCACATATCCACAGCCAGGCGGCAGGCGGAAGAATGTCAGGGCTCAGCTCCACTCACCTTATCTTTATTCTCTCCTGGCAGATAGGGTGGTCTTCCCACATCAATTAACATAATCTGCATAATCCCTCACAGCCACGCCCAGAAGATAACTGATCTGCATAATCCCTCAGAGACGTGAACAGAAATTTGTCTCTGACATGAATTTAGACTCTGCCTGTTAACTATCAATATAATTCCACAATTCCATTCTTTGTTGATTTGACAATAAAACACACCTCTTTAAAACTGATTCTTGTCCTTACTGGCTCATGGCCATCGCATAATACAAAATGCATTAATCTAACTTTCAAAAGTTCCTGTGAAACATCAAGAAAACCAACAACCCAATTGAAAAGTAAGGCATGGAGCTGAACAGAGAGTTCCCAAAAGACAAAAGACAAATGGCTGAGAGACAAGTGGAATGGCCGCAGAGGTCAGAAAATTAGTAAGAAGCCATGGAGGCAGAATTCCCAGGGGAGAGGACAGAGCAAAGGGTATAAAGCCCTGAAGGGGAATCATGATAGAAGAGCTTAATGGGGTAGATAGGAATATGGGGAGGGACAATTAACATTAAAGACTTTTCAAAAAATCATACAGAAACCCACTAGTGTCGAAGCTCCCTAAAATACATGCATACACGTATACCAGGTGTTAAAATGGAGTTATCCTGTGAAGGGGCAACCATGCCTCTACTAGACATCCAAGGATAACAAATGGAAAGCCCAGCTCCAGGACTGCATTGCCTCTTTTGGAGTTGTCGGAGAGTTGACCAGCCACCTTGCAAATAGGATTGTTTCATCACAACTTAGTTAGGCAAACAGAGGTTAAACGCTGCTCCAAGGCACTCACTGGCTTTGTTTTCTAGGTGGGGAGAGCTGATCTCATTGTTACCAGTTCCTGTGAGACGGTGCTACTAATAAAGGATATTCTTTTCCTAAAATATTAAAATTTTGTTTAATTCCGTGAATGGAACTCTGTGGATTGGGATAAGAAAAAACATTTGGAGTAAGACTAAAGGCAAAGAAAACAAATGTGGCTTCCAAAGGAGGACACTAAACATCTTAAAAATCTTTTTGGAGTCCTGTTTTACTGTTTTCCCCCATTTTGGGGTGTGTGTGTGTGTGTGTGTGTGTGTGTGTGTTGTTGTTGTTGTTGTTGTTGTTGTTTGTTTGTTTTGTTTTTTTATGTAGGACAGCAAGGCTTCACATGTGCTGAGCAAGGGCTGTTCCATTAAGCTAATGAACTAGCCAGCTAGCGTAAGGTATGCCTGAAAGGCTTTCAGACCTAACTCCATGCCACGGTGGACTCCCCAACAGCCAGAGTAGGAAGGCCCGAGCCGTTGCTGTCCACAGTGCTGAAAGACACCTAACATCATCACCTTCACCTCCTTGGGGTCCTCTCACTATGAAAATGGGCACAACAGCACAATGATCAGACACACTACGAAGAACCAAGACTAGCCCAATAGGGTGTCCCAAAGACTGCAGTTTCAGGTGGCTGGAAGGCTTAGGCCGAGTTTCCTTTAAGACCAGCAGTTTGAAAACGACCCAGGGCAACACAGTGCAGCATCACCTCAAAAACAAAGCAAAATGATAGCTTGTTAGATTTAATATGCATAGAAACTTAGAACCCACAGAATCAGAATTCCGAGGTGAGAGAAGATGGGCATATGAGATTAGAATAGGGATCAAGGTGGTGTTATTTAAAGGTTTGCCCTCTGAGAATCTGAGTCTGTTTGGCCCTTCATCCTGTTCCCTCACCTGTTTGGTCACCGCCCCTTGGCTCCCTATTGTCCAGAGTAGCGCAGCTTGGCTAGAGAATGAACCCTCACCATAGGAGCCTGTGATCATCCCGAGGAAGTCAGGGATCTTTGGCTCAAATCAACCACCGTAGCCACTGGGTGGACTACTTACAGCCCCTGCTTGCAGGGTGACAGCACAGTTTGTCCTTTGCAATCTACAAAGGCAGACTCACGCCTATCTACCTACTAGGAAGTCCGGGGCAAAGTGGATGGGTCACTGTCCACCCGTGTTCAGCGGCTCCACCCGCAGCCACAGCCCGCCCTCTGCGCGCAGGATCAGCTCCGGCTTCCGGCGCGGCTCCTTGTCGTCGGGCAGGACGCGGAAGCGCAGCAGGGTGAGCGCCAGCGCCACCTTCATCTCGCTCATGGCGAAAGTCTGTCCTATGCAGTTCCTGCGGGAGGGAGAGGTGGGGACTCTGACTGCGCGGGGACCCAGCCAGGCACTGTCAGAACCAACCTGACCGGATCTGCCGCAGCAACAGGGCAGCCTGAGGAGCAGCGAGGGATGCTAGTATACCAGGGACTCCTCTTAAAACTTAACTTGCCCAGCGCTCAGATTACAGTACAAATCAGCGGGAGGGCAGCTCTCAGCTTTTGTGGCCGCTCTTGGAACTTCTTCTTTTGTTGTTGTTATTGTTGTTGTTGTTGTTTTGTTTGTTTTTTGTTTGTTTGTTTGTTTGTTTTTTGTTTGTTTTCAAGACAGGGTTTCTCTGTGTAGCTTTGCGCCTTTCCTGGAACTCACTCTGTAGACCAGGCTGGCCTCGAACTCACAGAGATCCGCCTGGCTCTGCCTCCCGAGTGCTGGGATTAAAGGCATGCGCCGCCGCCGCCGCCGCCGCCGCCACCACCACCACCACCCTGAATGGATATGCTATGTGTGAGTGTATGTATGTGTGTATGCTGAGTGCCAGTGCAAGTGTGTGCATGCCATGGCGTGTGTACAGAAACCCGGAGGACAAACTTCAGAGGTCAGTCACCATCTTTCTGCCCCTATTGGAACTTCCCAAACGGGCTCTACAAACCTTGGTTTTCACTCTGATTAGAAGATGTGGGGAGGGAACCAGAAACCTCGACCATCTGAACTCCGCCCTTCCTCACCACCAGACCCAGATCCTGCTCCATAATCCTGAGCTCTTTGGCCTCACCTGGGTCCCGCCGAAAAGGGAACAAATGCCAGAGGTGACCTGTCCTGGATGTTCTCTGGATCAAAGCGGAAGGGGTCATAGACCTGAAGAAGAGACCAGCCATGGTGAATGAGGGGCATCTACCAGCACAGCCTGAGACAGAGTCTTGAGTGTGCTGGGATAAGTGAGGTCTGATATCCTGAGGCCACTGGGGGATGAACAAGGGCACAGCGCACCTCAGGGTCCCGCCACACGGTTGGGTTGTGATGGGTTCCAAAGATATTGATGATGCAGATGACGCCTGTGGGGAAAGGGACAGGCAGGGTAAGCTTGTGGCCTGATAAACCTTGCTGTGTGCCCAGGATGCTTCTTCCCTGTTCTGTGGCTACCTTTAGGGATGACCCTGCCATCTGGGAGGAAAATGTCCTGGGTGCAGCAGCGGGAAACCATTGTGACTGGAGGATGCAGCCGCAGACTCTCCTTGATGCACATGGTCAGGAAGGGCAGCTGGGCCAGGTCGTCCCTGAGGAACCCATCATATAATTAACCAGGAGTAAAACAGAGGTTGCTGGCCCCTGCGTTGCCCATTTAACCTTTCCTCACAGCGGTAAAATAATCCCAAGAAGATCAAAGGATTAGGGAAGTGCTGGAGGAAACTTAGCCAGGCATCTTTAGAGAAGCATTTTTTTCCCCCTGAGGAAAACAATGTTCACACCTGCTATTTTAAAAACTCAACACATTTATATTAAAATGACTATTTCTTATGGTAAAAAAACAACACCAAAATCAAAAGGCAAAGAAGAAAGAAAAAGAATAAACTGATCTACTGTGTTTGCTCTTCTGACTTTCTCCCCATTCACATAAAACCTCTCTTCCCCTCACACATCGTTGTTGTTGTTGTTGTTGTTGTTGTTGTTGTTGTTGTTGTTTTTCGAGGCAGGGTTTCTCTACAACAGTCCTGGCTATCTGGAACTCCATTGTAGACCAGGCTGGCCTCAAACTCACTGAGATCCTCCTGCCTCTGCTTCCCAAGTGCTGGGATTAAAGGCATGCGCCACCACCGCCCAGCTTCCCTCACACATCTTATCTACCTTCCCCTCCTGTAGATTTCTCTCCTCTCTCCTTGTCTTCCCTCAAGAGTTCTTTCTCCTGTCCTGCCTCCTCCCCATCACCGTACCCCTTCTTCCATCTCCCCTTCTCCATCCCTCTTTATATTTTTTCTCTTTCTCATACCCCTCCTGCTCCCAGTCACCCACCCCCATTACTGTCTTCCTCCTCCACCAGCCCATATCATCCTTGGGCCTACCGCCCTATTGCCCAGTCTCACACAGATATTCAGTGACGTCCCAATGAAACATATCCTCTCCACGTGCTTCTCTTACTCTCTATCCCATGCCTGATGTGTGTCCTAGGGCTGATCTCTGGGCTGAGTCCTTAACACAGACTATGCTGGGCACAAATCAGAAAGGAAAGGTGGTGTGGGAGGGTTTGATGAAGGAAGATTGGATGCATAGATGAGTCACAGGTTCAAGACAATATAGACATGATTTTATCCCCAGATGCCCCCTGCTAATTAATCCCTGGGAAGAATAGTAAGGAAGTAATTAGGGAGCAGATGAACAACCTAACAGGAAGGGGAGATATGGGAAAATGTTATTTATTTAGGACAGAGTCGGGGAGCAGAAGGGAAGTTCATTTACTCAACACTGCAAAGTAGCATCATCTGCCCTCGCATCATGTTATTTTGTCAATAATTCTCTTTGAAGTCCACATCTTTCTGTTCCCGTGATGAAATAGATGCCTCACCCACCAGCCAGTAACAGGACAATCATTGAAAGAGTTCCCTGCCCCACCTGGGAAAGAAAACCAGGAGGGGGCATCAGGAACAGGCCACCAGGACCTGAGCTCACCATTCAATCTCCTCAGGCTCTCGGTCCCTCAGCAGCTCCCGCACCTCCTGCCGGCAGCGCTCCTGGTATTCCGGGTGCCTCGCCAGGTTGTACAGGACCCAGGAGAGCCCACTGGCCGTGGTGTCATGGCCTGAAGAGTAGACAGTTAGACCTGGGTCTCGGGCTGTTTCAGCACCGCTACGCAGACAGCACTCAAGTGGTGAAGTCCTCAGGAGGGATGAGGAAAAGATAGAATACAGGGAATGGAGGGACCCAGATTCCTGAGATGTAGAGACTCCTACCCCTTCTCTGGTCTCACGGGACCCTCACCCCTAAACATGAAGGTGTCAGCCTCTGCTCTGATGTCCTCATCTGACAGCTCCTTTCCATCTTCATCCTGGAGACAAGGCAAGGTCTTACATCACACCACTTCTGAAGGTTCCCGTGTTTAACATAAAATAATACCTGGAGATCCTTTTCCAACCAGGCACACAAGACCTCTGTACTCCTGCATTCCTCTTGATCACTGGAGGGACTCTGGCTAGCTTGAGCTTGGCAAGCATGACTCTGGCAGGCCTTGCCCTTCTCCCCCATTCCCTCTGTCTTGCTAAAAACCATTAGATGACATTCCTAAAGCTAGTCACCAATGTCTATTTCCTTATTTGACCACTTCCTCCTCCTAAAGCCGACAACCAAGTTCCAGCAATCAAAGTATTTGAAGTCCAGCAATCAAAATTGCTCCCTTTGGCTCACCTAATTAACATGCCCAATTAAAATTAAACACCTTATTCTAACACGGAGTTTCCCCCTTTACCTTTATAAATCACCATTTTCCTATGTGCCATGTCTGTCTACACTCTATCCAGAGGCAGTATTCTTCCCCACTCCGGGACTTACACCCCTGCCCCCTTCCCCTTGTTCCCTTCTCCTATTCCTTCATCCCCTATCTCCTGTGTTTGTCTCTTATTCCATGACCTCTATCCCTCTGGGGCAAATAAATCTCCTTTGTGCTGAGAACTTGGTCTTGGTGGTCCTAAGCCAATACTTTTCCTTACAGTCACCATCACCAGAGTCGCCAACACACAGGCATTGCTCTTGGCTCCCCTACCTCATGTTTTTTCCTAGTTGAAGGAGTCAAAGAGCCATGGGTATTTTCTACTTCTGTATGATGAGTGATTTCTGTGGGAAAGAATGACTAGCCACCTTTCATGGCAACTTGTCTAGGCATTAGAGACTAAGTATCGCTCTAAGTCAGTGGTTCTCAACCCATGGCAAACAGCTGTCTCCAAAAACATTTACATTATGATTCATAACAGTAGCAAAATTACAGTTTTGAAGCAGCAACAAAAATATTTTATGATTGGGGTCACCACAACATGAGGAGCTGCATCAGACGGTCCCAGCGTTAGGAAGGTTGAGAATCGCTGCTCTAAGTCATTCGCTTTGCTCTGCTCTAAGTCATTCGCTTTGCTCTGCTCTAAGTCATTCGCTTTGCTCTGCTCTAAGTCATTCACTTTGCTCTGCTCTAAGTCATTCACTTTGCTCTGCTCTAAGTCATTCACTTTGCTC